TATATATATATATAAAAGAATATATAAGTATGGGTTAAATTGATCAAAACTAACAGTGAAGACATTAAGACTATATACTGTATATTATACTTTACTAGAGGGCCGCTGCTGGCCAAATGGGTGCCCTAAGCAGAATAGTATTGTTGTGCCCCCTCCTTCAAAAAAACAAAACAAAAAAACACCTACTATAAGGGGTCAAAATAGAACTTATATAAAAGATTATGGTAAAATTATAAACCATAATTTTACAGGTAGCATTATTCGTTGTCGAAATGTACTACCCACTGTTTTAATGGGAGGTAGCAAAATCTGACAGGGTAGCACAAATCGACAGAACTGCGCTGATGTCTTTTCCCTGATATAGCCTAGTTGTCCATTAATTATGATGATCATTTGTATTCAGCCGCCCGCAAACATGAGGTGAGATGCGGGAATGGCGCTAAAATATATTGTTAATGTTTAGATTTTTATTTATGTATATGTATATGTTAATAATAGAACGAAAGTTGTTTTTATTTATTTTTTTTTTCTCTGCGGTACTGCTTTACTGTTAGCACTGTTATACACATACATACATATACAAATATACTGTTATTTTAAACTTCAGCAAAGGGTCAGCATGAGTAATGATGCTGAAAATTCAGCTTTACGTCACAGAAATAAATCACATTTGAAAACATTCAAATAGAAAACAGTTATTTTAAATTGTAATCATATTTCACAATATTACGTTTTTTACTGTATTTGATCACGTAAATGCAGCATAAAAGACATAAAAATTCCTTACCAAACCCAAACTTTTGAACAATAGTGTGTTTATTTATATCTGCTAAAACAGACAAGCAAAGATATAAAAAAAGAAAAGTCCCATTGCTGTTGGATTGTATAGCACCGTTGAAACGCCACTCAGCCAATCAAATTCGAGAAGCAGAACTGTCGCATTGGCAATGGGTCCATCATTTGCCCCATTACTACAGCTATCAGTATCTTGTCCAGCTCAGATGATGTCATAATGGCTGTTAAAACGGCGCTGACGTCCTTGATCATTATTTTCACAGACACTTTTGCCAGTAACAAGACGCTTGGGTTTTCTAGTAAATGCTTTAAGCTGTCGCGTGCCATCAGAGGGGTCATCGCAATATGGCCGATCTCCAGTTTCCTGGTTTATTCTCTCAGATATCAGTGAGGCTAATGCACCTACTGCCGCCATGTCATTCAACCGAATGTTCTGCGTCCTGACAACCTCCATCTTTTACTTGCTGATGAATAACACAGTTGAAGAAGTGCAGTTGGCAATCTATAGTAAAGAATAAAGATGATTTCAAGCTTAATGTGATTTACCCAAGTAAGACAGGTTCCTGGGTCTTGGAAGAGCAATCATATTTTAGGCTTTGGGCTGGAATTAGGGGCTTCAACAATATTGTTATCAACCAGTCAGTATTTCTCTGATTTAAGGGCTCAGTTGTAATGAGGATTAAGGTTGGATATACTTGGTCATGTGTTTTTGCTTAGGAATAGCCACCCATTCATGCAAAGAACAAGTGAAGAGTTCAGATACAAAAGCCTCTAAGTGCCGTCTGAAATTTTCTTCTACAATTAGCATTTTTATCAGGTTCCTATGCTTAGGTTCAGTAATTTTACAAATAATGGCAATGTATAGGTCCTTTTCTATGCCATTAAAGTGAAAGAACTGAACATAAATATAGGAGCTTTATAAAAATGGTCATTTTAGATGAAAATTTCAGATGGCACTTCGAGGCTTTTGCATCTGAACTCTTCAAGTGTAAACGGCAACCAAGATGCATTCGACATGACAAGTAATCAAACTCAGGAGGTGGTCTGAGATGCATACAAATCTGTCTGTCCAATCATTCAAGCTGTTTCTTTCTCAGGAACACCAAAGAAGATATTTGAAGAACTATTTTTGCCCATTCAATGAGAGTCAGCGCATGAAACAACATTGATTTTTATTGCATGCTCTCAGAAAAAAGGTGTTAAAGCTTCTACTGGAGCGGTACCTTGTACTAATATGTGCACTTTAGGTACTAATATGTACCTTTAAGGTACCAATATAGACCTGTTAGGTACAAAGGCGTATCTTTTAAAAAGGTACTGCCGCAGGGACAGCTTTGAGCTTTCGTATCGTTTTTCTGAGTGCAAGTACAAAACATATAAGAGACATATTTTTCTGTGTTCCACAGAAGAATGGAAGTCAGCTTGGATCATCATGAGGGTGAATTAATGATGACAGAATATTTGATGAACTCTCCTTTTAGGACAATACATCCCTTCTGTAAGTCTGTTCCTCTGCCTCATTTTCATTTGCTTCAGGTGAAATATGGCATCTAACACATGAGCTACACAGGGTTAGGATATGATAGTTTGATCAGAGTTTTGTTCCAGTATAATCTCCGTCTTCTGCTTGTTTAACTCGGGTTACAGTCGTGCAGCTTAACATTTACAGGTAGATGTTCCAAAATCAACATCCTGTGTTGTTCCTGGAACAGCATTCCCATAAACCAGTCATGCGCACTGATTTTATGGATGGGGTTATGATTGGTAGGCGTCCTGTTTGTGTACAAAGACAGCCAAACCACTGAACCTAAGGCAAGACACTACAGGCGAAACCATTGTTTTTTCAGACACTGGTCAATTTTGGGATTTTCGGTTTTACTTCCATAACTTGCCTACTTTTCTTTTAAACTAGTGGAAAGAAAACATCCAAAATACACATTTAATTGTGTATTTTATTACACTTTGTCTATTTGTACAGCATTTGTAGATTTCAATTATGATACATATACAGTATATATATATATATATAAAGATTTGTAATCTAAAACTGTATTTGTCAAACTGTATGACCAGCTAAAAATGCCTCAAGTATATTATAATTCATGATAGATGCATTGCTAAACATTCCGAACTTTATGTAAATGGAATAATTACACCCTTGATGGCAATTCTATTGAACCTTTTTGACTTTTCTTTGGTGCTTGAAGCTCTTTAACCTATCATTAGATCTAACCATCTGTACAAAAAAGTTAATGTTATTTCAATTTCTAGTCAATTTACTTATTTGATTAGTGACCAGGAAATAGCACAGAATTATAAATATGTCATACTCATTTTATGTCATAAAATTTACTTTAAATTAGTGTCCCAAACCTTTCTGTTTGTTCAGTCCCACATTTTCAATATGTTCTCAGACGTTTGGACCCCACTGTACAAATATCCTGTCAGACAGGAAGCCCCCCACTGTTTTCCTTTATGTATTAAGATTTTTCATTTCTGATTCTGCCAGAACATTTGACTTTGAACTGGAACTGTGTCAGTCTTTCTAAATGGACTTGCTGTCCCTGAGAGACCTTGCTCTGATATTTTTATTGAAACATTTTTGTTTTCTAATTTTGTTGGGCCAAGGGATTGTTTACTGTGGCACTGAGCATTACACTTTCCTTGCAAAAGATGGAGACAGGATGGAAAAAAAATGCCGATTCCAATGCAGATTATATTTTAACAGCAACTGCCCCAGATTGTTTTATAAACTGCCTTTAAATATAGTGTTTCTGAGTGCAAGTCTTTGTCTTTGACACAGGTCCTTCCTCAGTCATCAGTAATGATGATGACTCCGCCAGTCCTCTTCATCATGTGTCCAATGGCTCTAACACACCCTCGTCCTCTGACATGAACGCGGATGCCGTCATCATTGGCATGACCAAGATTCCCGTCATAGAGAACCCGCAGTACTTCCGCAGCACCAGCAGTCTGCTCAAATCTCATACATGTGAGTCTGTCTGTCTCTACATTTGTGTCTTATAGATTGAGAAAGAAATCTGTCTAAAATATGTTCCAGTAAATAATACATTAGTATAAATTAGTAAATTAGTAGTATAAATATATACTACAGTAAAATGTTTGGAATAATTAGGATTTTAAATTAGGATTTTAATTAGAAAATTACAGTAATATTGTGAAATATTATTACAATAAAAAAAAATGTTTTCCTATGTGACTATATTGTAAAATGTAATTTATTCCTGTGGTGCAAAGCTGAATTTTCAGCATCATTACTCCAGTCTTCAGTGTCACATGATCCTTCAGAAATCATTATCAATGATTATTATCAATGTTGAAAAACATTTGTGCTGCTGCATAGTTTTGTGATACACTACCATTCAAAAGTTTGGAGTAAGTAAATCAGCATATTAGAATTATTTCTGAAGGATCATGTGACATAACTCACAGTATTGTAGTTTTTACTGTATTTTTAATCAAATAAATGCAGCTTTGGTGAGCATAAGAGACTGCTTTCAAAAATATAAAAACATTTTTTTTTTATTATTCCAAACTTTGACCCATAATGGAAAATATATGTTAATGAAAAAAAAAAAAAAAAAAAAATATATATATATATATA